ACAGCATCAGTCGGTCGCAGCATGAGCGCGATGAGGCGGCTCTCCACATAATAGTTATTGTCAAAGAATGAAGATCAATTGGTTTGGGGAACCGAGAAAGGTCACTAATCTGTAGAATTATTCCGGGCATCTTACTCAATCGCCCCGAATCCCGTGGAGCAAAATCGAATGTCCTGTGTCCAGACACTGCTCTGGATGTGTTAGTTTTTCTTCTTGTCTGTGAAGTGTCAGGCTTCTTAAGGTGAGGCTTATGGCTAGGAGTATAGATGGTGCGTGGGTTCTCATGGGTTGCAGACGTATATATTTCATTTGCTCTACAACAGCACGTGCGCATGTCTCTTGTGCTCTGATGGTTGCACGCAAGTAGCTGTTCTGATCAGGATGTCGTATCAGTGAGTGGTGCCAGGCTCTTTCGCTTCAGGCATCCAAGTTTTCATGGTCGTGACAGACTTCCTTCTGACGCTGGCAGGAGACATTCCCGGACGGCAAAGATGCTGTGCCGGGAATGTTCTCCGCAAGGTTCGATGGCGGAGACATAGAGCACAAATTTCGCCGTGTTCACAAGATCCTTCAGGCACCGTCTTGAACATGACATGATCATGTTGGTTGTTCGATCTGGCACCAAGTTTCCACCGCAAAGTGTTTGCTTCATGAGTGATGCCCGACCTGCAAGGAGCACAACTTCCCGGTGCTGATGGTCGACGCCGGTGTTGGTGACAACTTCGGCAAACTAACATCTAAGTATTTGAGCAAGATTGAGAGAGAAAAAGGTGTCTTGATTTGTGTTTGCACAGCTCACTATGCCGAGAAGACCACCTCACCCTTCTGCTCTTTTAAAGAGTTGGAGTTCGCCCGAGACTACAGTCTGGATGTTCTCCCGCTGAAAGTGGCAGACGTCTACCCCCCACGACCGCCTGGCGGTCCAGATCACCCGCACGACCAAGAGAACGACGCAGCCGACGTGATCAAGTATGTCTTCAGACCCAATCTCGTCTACGTAGACACTTGGATCTTGAACTTGTCAAGAAGAACTTAGTTCATTCCTCCCAGCTCGTTTGAAGGACATGAAACGGCGCATGTCAAGAGCAGACCTCGTTAGATAATCCTGCGCAACCCAGGACTGCCGCAAGCTGGATGAGATGGAAATTGCCCGCGTGATCGCAGACAAGTTGCTGAAGAAGAGGAGCCTCGCCATGAGAAATTCGTTGTCCTTGCAAGGATCCTTAAACCCTATAAGCAGGAAGGAGAAGATCTTACCTGCAGGCCCCGCGCAAAGTCGCCAGCACAGCTAAGGCAAGGTGCTGGATATGGATGAGAAGAAGGCTCGCTGGATCTCTCGGAGAGGGTTTGGGAGCCATACGGCCACAAGGGTTTCAGGGTGCAGGGCGCAGGGTTTCGTCGGGTTTTGGAGTGAATGGGCTCTGCCAGGTTGCATTCAGCGCTGAACGTCGCTTGACCACTCTTCATCACGCCCTGCACAGCTGAGGTCCCGATTTGGCCGGGCAAGCGATAAGGGGTGGAGTCTAGGATGTGGGGACTTAAGAGCTCGGCCAGTAGGGTTTCAAATAGGGCTTCCCCACATAGACTGTCTTCCATTCGAGCTCTACCTAAGTCCTACTTAGAAGTCTCCTTGATTATGGTCGCTTTGGCAGCAGCTTTCCCTGGCCCTAGCATCTACGTACTTTGCTGTGAAGATTGATCGAATAGATAGCTCACACAGCCGACTTGATCCATGTGGCTCTTGCGTATTCTTTGGGTTTGTTACATTTTTGGGGCTGGGGCTACTGTCTGCCATCGAAACCCAAATGGGCTGTGAGAGACGCACTCAAATGTTTTTAAGCGGGTGAAACCCCTCATCGTCGATGAAGATGAGATGGGTCTTGACGAGTTGCTCAGACCCTCCCTTGCTTGCCACAAGCTTCTTTGGAAGCTGGCCTGAAGGATCTCGATGCAAAAACACAAGGGCTGAATACCCAACGAAATCGTCGGAGTCGGGAGAAGGAGCTGCAGAAGTGATGGAGATTCCTTGGGTTGACACGCTTTTCCGATCGGGTGCAAAGTTTTCAAGGTGCGGCGCCCAGGAGAGTTCAGTGCCTCGTGCCTAACAGTGACAGTGACAGGGAGTTTCGTACTGCGAATTCCGGGGTTTCCGCCTCCCTGTGTTCGAGACTGCAAGAACTAGACTGAAAGTTCCATGGCGAGGATGGTTCATAGTGCTTCGGAGCAAGTTTCTGGATCTTTTCCGGCACTGGCAGTTGCAATGTATGGAGAAGCCTTCTAAGACGCAGTGTTTTCATGGTCGTCTGGCCAGCCTTGCCAGAACGATGATTTCCTACACACTTGCTCAGAACTCCCATTTTTTAGCGATTTTACTTTTGTTGCCCTTGACTTATCATTCCATTCCCTCTACAAGCCGTGGCTGTTGACGACTGGCTACAGCCGAACTCCAGTGTCGCCGTTAGCGCCGAAACCCTTCAACGCCGGCGCCCAAATCATGAAGCCCTGAACGCAAGACTCTATGCCCCAGCGCTCTGTGACGCTGCCTTAAATTCAGACATCTTGGCACCCTCTGTCCCCCCCAGCAGCACGCCAAACTATGCTCTTTCCATTTTTGGGCTTCTGTTCTGGGAATGAGCCCCGCATTCAGAGGATCTTGGGAAACCCGCCGTAAATTCGCGGACTAGTGGCCCCAAACCCTAAACCCTAGACCCTAAACCCAAAACCCTAAACCCTAAACCCTAAACCGTATTGTAGCTTCTAGAGACATCTATCGGTTCGGATTCCGGGTGCAGCCTGGGGTTCAGGGATTCGGGATTGAGGTGTAGCGGTTTAGGGGTTTAGGGTTTAGCGGTTTAGGGGTTTAGGGGTCTAGGGGTTTAGGGGTTAGGGGTTAGGGTTTAGGGGTTTAGGGTTTAGGGGTTAGGGTTTGCATAGGGGTTTCAATTCCGTGAAATTCGAACTTGAAGCCTTCAAAGCTAACCCGCAACTCTAAACCCTGAACCCTTTAGGCCCTAAGCCCCAAAACCCTAAAACCTCTCAACAAGGATTCCCCAAACCCTAAAACCCCTACAACCCTATACTAAACCCTAAGCCCGAAAACCCCTAGACCCTAAACCCCTGGAGCCATGCTGCTTCCCTGGCGGACGGCGGTGCTGCTGCTCGCTCCCCTGGCGTCTGCGCTGCGCGATGTGGGGCCCAAGGATCGCTGCTTGGAGAAGGCGCGAAATGCCTGCGCCAGGCGTTGCCCTTAAGGGCTCTAAAAAATAGGGTTTTAGAGTTTTGGGGTTTAGGGTTCAGGGTTTCAGGGTTTGGGGTTCAGGGTTTTAGAGTTTAGAGTTTGGGGTTCAGGGTTTAGGGTGAAGAGGGTGAAGAGGGTGCAGTACCTCCTAGCACGGACCCTGGGTTCGCAATTTCATTTGTGTTTGAGGGCTCAGGAGCCTTACGTAGGGTGGGATGTAATGGCAGTCCAGGCAGTTGCATACGTATCGGTGCCGGCAATGCAAGCACCAGCCAGCCGTAGTAGACATGTACAGGAGCGTCAGCGGGGGGGATGGCACGAGTACATGTCAGAGCGAGTCGGTTCAGGGCCAAGGGGTGAAAGGACATCTGCGATTGACTAGCATGGATGCTCCAAACGCTGTGGCATAAGCCCATGTCCCTCAACCAAATTAGGGTGTATCGGTTTACGATGATTTAGGTTGTAGGTCAGGTTGCCCAGTAGTGCACCTTTGGCTTCTTGGTCTTGGTGCAGGTTCCTCAATCGAAATAGCCAGCAGAAGCTGGAGAACCCGCTCACCCGAGTTGCTTTGCCCAAAGCTCCGGCCTGTAACCTGCATACATCCTCTCGATCAGTGAGGGTACCTAAGCCCTGCCGAGAGGACCCTAAACCCTAGACCGTAAACCCACGACCTTGAACCCTATAAACCCTAAACCCTCAACCCTAAATCATCAACCCTCAACCCTAAATCATCAACCCTCAACCCTGAACCCTGAACCCTCAACCCGAAACCCTAAATCGCCTTCACCCTCAGCCCATACCAAAGGTGAAGGGGGTCCAAGATGGCGTCTACGGTCGTGCCTCGGCCTACGAAGCTTCGGGGGAGGGTTCTTGGGGATTTAGGGTTTAGGGTCTAAGGGGTAGGGGTTTAGGGTGTAGGGTTTGGGTTTAGGGTATTTTGGGTTTTTTGGGTGTTTATACGGGTTTAATTTTGGGGCTTCAATGATTAGAGTAGTATGTTTGCACGGCGGCTAGAAGCGCGTGCTGTGATTCGTTGATGAATTCAAGTTCAGGGTTCCCGAGCTTAGGGTTCCCCCCAAAATTAAACCCTTATAAAGCTTCTTTCTACAAAACCAAGACAAACCCTTAGAACTCACCCTAAAAAGCCATAAAAAACCCACGTGAAACGTCTCCAGAAACGTCTGAGCTCTTAACCCCTAAACCCTAAGCCCTGAACCCTAGACCCTTAAACCCGTAAACCCCTAAACCTCTAAACCCTAAACCCCTAAACCCCTAAATCAGCTCTCAAAGCTCCGATGGCGCAAGGATGGTTCTCGAGGAAGCTCTCGCGGCTTTTCTTCGACGACCCTTTCCAGGCCGAGCTTGCTGGTACGGTTCCCTTGGGCTTCTATGAAGGACCCATCCCTTTAAGGGAACCATAAAGGGTTCTATAAAGGAAGCTTCCTGTCCGGTTGTGGGGGTCTTGAAGTTTGAGGGCTTCTGGGGGTGGAGGGGCTTCGGTTTGATTCTTGAGCTTGTTTCGGGCTATTGGGGTTGAGGGTTTAGGGATTCAAGTTTTTGTTTGTTGTTTGTTTGCGTTCTTTTTGATTGTTTTTGAACCCGAAGCACCCTGAGCCCTAAGCCCTAAACTCAACCCTAGATCCTTAGAAGCCTTAGATGCCCACCCTAAACCCTAAACCCTAATTACCAGACTTTAAACCCCAAAACCCCAGAACCCGAAACCCTAACTCCTAAACACAGGTCGCTTCGGAGGGCTACCAGACAGTCGGTGACTTCCAAAAAGATCTTCTGACAAGGCAGGAACCCCCGAACCCTAAATTAGGATTTGGGGTTAAGGGTTTAGGGTTCCTTTCTTAACACCACAAACGAATGCAGAACCGACATTCTTTATGGTCAAAGCCTTCGCTTTGCAGAATCGGCCATATACTCCCAATCCCTCAAAGTTGCAAAACGCCTTTATTGAACAAATCATGTAGGCCTCACTACTCCCTGTAATCCCTGAACCCTT